GCGGCCGCAACAGCTGAGCGCGCGGCGCGTGTCACGTGGTGCGCGTGTCGAAGGTCACGGCGCGCTCACAATGGAGCTCTCGGAGTCTGTGCAGAGAGGCTTCCAGACGCTGGCCGATCCCGGCTCCTTCGACTCCAACGCCTTCGCGCTTCTCCTCCGGGCGGCTTTCCAGAGCCTGCTGGACGCCCAGGCGGACGAGGCCGTGCTAGGTAAGCAGCTCGGCGCCGAGCTGAGGCGGCCTGGGCGGAGGGCGCTCGGAGGAGAGGAGAGGAGCGGGACGAGCGCGCGGCGGAGCCCGGGAAGAGGAAGTCTGCGGGCTGTGCCCCTCGCTCCGGACGGAGTGTGGGGACGGGGCTCTGCCGGGGGGCCGAGCGGACCCCGAGCATTGTTCTGTCCCCGCTTGGCACCTGCACGCTGCCGGCTACGCGTTCCTGGCCCGCTTTCCCTCCCAGTCGCTTTGTTCCTTTTGTAAAGCCCGTGTTCAAGTCTTGTTTGTGGCCTAAACAGCCAAGCTTTGCAGTCTGGGCTGGGGCAGCCGCTATTTTGACACTTGGACTTCAACTGGGGGGCTCCCTGTAACTCAGGCTTGCAGGACTGGACTGGCAAGGGCTTAAAAGGGCCTGCTTCTGAAGTGATGACTCGAGGTCAAAGAGTGCTTCCAACTCAGAGAAGATCGCAGGTTCCTAGGAAAACTCCAGCCCTCCAGTTCAGTGTGTTTTACACAAGTTGTTCGCCCCAGAACCCTGAAATAGTGCGCCTGATGTTTTGTTCCGCACCAGTTAGCAGGAGGCGAGCCTCACTGAAGCGGTCTGGTCAGGGATTGCGGAGGGCACTGTCAAGTGAGGATTACAGGCATATTTTCAAACAATTCGCTTTTAGGTCATTTTCTTAAATATCTCAACGATTCAAATTTTTGGTTTTTTTTTCTGTAGTTTTATGAACGAGACATTTGTACAAAAAGTATGAAAGTGGAAGTTCTTCAAACGAAAATAGTAACCACCACCTGGGTTAATCTCATAAAGGATGGCTGTCAAAACCTGAAAATACAGATAGGATTTTGAGTTTCCTATTTTACATTTCACACCCTCCCCTCCAGCCTCCGCCCCTTAAGCTACTAATGTCCACTGAGCCAGTTACCCTAGAATTTCATCATCTGAAGAGTGGACGTTATCCTTAAATCTTATGTCATGTAAAATATTTACCTTGTTTTTTTATCCTTTGAATTTACTCCACCCAGTGTTAAAATGAGGACTGTATAATTACTTTTTCCTTTGGGGCCCATACGTTTTTAAAACTAATAAAAATATTAGGGCAAAATTAAAGGTAATTAAAGCAGATAAAGTAGGATTATTGATGTATTTTCTTTATTATTTTGCAGTTGACCTTGTTGCTCATCTCATTTACTTATAATTGGCAATTATAATTGAATTCTTTTTATCTTGTTAAAAAGGTGTTTTTACCCAAATTAAAATATCTTTTTAGGAACATGATAATATAGGCACCGCTGTCAATGATTTTATTTTAGATCACCCAGACTTGAAACATATTGACCCAGTGGTTTTAAAATACTGTCATGCAGCAGCTGCAACTTACATACTGGAGGCAGGAAAGCACCGAGCTGACAAATCAACTCTAAGGTACAGGATTTATTTAAACATCCATATATTTTGAAATAATATCTTTGTGATTCCAATTTCAGTTTTTAAAATAAAGATTAAACTTCGGCTCTCCCCACCCCCCAGCACCTTTCTAGAAGACTGTAAATTTGATCGAGAGAGAATAGAGCTGTTTTGTACAGAATATCAGGTTACTTACTTTAACTTTTTAAATTAACAATTACTACCTTTAACTATGCTCAGTTTGCAAAGATGTATTTTCTTTCCTTTTTTTCCCTCCCCAGAATAATAAGAATTCCCTAGAAAGCCTACTGGAAAGGTAGGTACTGTATAAGGTGTCAAGCTGAGGCACTTTTTACTTGCAGGTATGAATGGAGAGGGCTGGTGTGAAATAAACCAGGACAAAAAAACCTGGGCTCCTGGCCCAAAGAAAAGGGACCAAAGGGCATGTAAAACAGTAGTTAATTTTATTAAAGATGAAGTTTATTGAGTAATTTTAGAAATAGTTTTATGCTTCAGAATTTGAAAACGAAGTGTAACAGTTGTAAAAATTCAGAGTGGATTAAATGGGTTGAGGGGTTGGAAGGTAAATGCCATCCTTATTAAAGAAAAAGGCTGATAGATTTTCTGTAGTTATTATATTACAAATTATCATTGTATCTTTCAGTATAGGCAGATCTCTCCCTCATATAACTGATGTTTCTTGGCGCCTGGAGTATCAAATAAAGGTAAAGTTTAACTGTTCTCAAGAGGGATTAGGGGAACTTCGTGGAAAAAAAAAAAAAAAGACTCACATGTTGTATTGTTTTAGACCAATCAACTTCATAAGATGTACAGACCTGCATATTTAGTAACTTTAAACGTAGAGGTATGTATAGACAGTTCCTGCTAAAAATGAAATATGTAATGGAATTTCAAATTTCTTTGATTTAAATAAACTGCATTGTTTTTCTTCTCCAGAACACTGATTCCCAATCCTACCCAGAGATTAGTTTTAGCTGCAACATGGAACAATTACAGGTACAGTATTAGGACCTGTCTTATAGATGTTTGAAAATTAATGCTCATGCTTATTAATGCTTATAGATGTTTGACAGTGCTTCAAAAGAAAAATAAATATTTGTCAGCAAATAATGGCTGGTCACAGATTTAATGAAACAGGGACTTCACAAGCAATATTTTGACATAGACTTCACTTCTGAAATTAAGACGTTACAAATTTACCAGTAGTCTTATGTTTGTTGTTCCTTCAAATTAAACTTTTAAAGTGTGATATAAATTCCTTCAATTCATGATGTTTGATCCATTAAGATAAAGGAAAATTAAACCATGGCTTTGAAAATGCCATTTCTGCTTGCAGAAATTTTCCAAATTGGATTGTTGAACAGTAGTTTTAAATGATTTTTATAAAGGGAGATATAACACATAAGATTTTAAATCTGTTTATATTGCCACTGTGAGCCTAGGGATGTTGAAAACTACATTGATGGATAGGACAAATTATTTCTTGCCACTTCAAAAAAAGGTCTTTCCTTGAAATTTAGATGCAGTTAAAATTTTCAGAGACCCCTCTTAGTCACTTAAATGCAACTATTCTCAACTTTGAGAAAATCTGTATGTAGCATAAACCTCTTCAGATGACTTGAGACATTTAACTTAGATATATTTGTTGAGGATTCAGTTAATCCTGTTTCAATCTAATGGCAAATAGCTGATTTGAAGATAAGATATTTTATAGAAAAATGCTTCTTTTGACGGATAGTGGTTTGCCAAAGGTTAAAATCGCAGTGAACGTCAAACTCGTTTAGGATGTGTTCTCTAGACATTTTTCTTGCACCTCTCTGGAACTTGAATATTTTGTTACATGTTTTATCCTAAAAACGTGGTATTTTATACATCTTCTAGGACTTAGTAGGGAAACTTAAAGATGCTTCAAAAAGCCTGGAAAGAGCAACTCAGTTGTAAGTTGGAGAAGTTACCGATCCTCCGGAGTCTAAAGGAAAAGCAGAAACACCTTGCCTTTAGCCGAATCGTCGCTTGTGCAAGCTGGATGCCTTCATGTTCAGTAGGAAGAAAAGTTTCCCCCTGAATTTATGCCATTCATCAATTTTGACGTTTTAAATAAACAAATGAAGAAGAGGGGAGTTCTGTGCATTTAGCTCATCTTTGATATTACCTGTACATGTCCTATTTTGATCTTTTGCCAGTCTTATGAAAAGAAATATTACACCCTGAATAAATAAGGTGTTGTTCCCATGAAAAGCGTGGTGGTATTTTGTTTGGATTGGAGTTTGTGTGTTAATTATTACTTCGTGTGAACAGCTAAACACGATTAGCGTTAACTTTTAACGCTGGGCTCAGCCAGCGGGAAGGATGCGAACCC